GGAACCACCCACTATCGCAACACCCCATTACTAGTATCATCTGTGTGTGTGTGTGTGTGTGTGCGCGCACGCGCGTGTGTGTAGGTGTAAAATAAATAAATGAATAAATAAATAAATGAATGATGCACTTACCTCGCGAGGAGCTCAATTATTGTGAATTGTTGGCCAAAATCATGCGCAGTATGTGTCCTCTTCCACGTCCGAGTGAGGGGGGTGGGGCTGATAACGCAATATCACAACATTTTTAGTAGATGATGTAAACGTATTATTATTATTATTATTATTGTTATTATTTATATATTCATTTATATTACACACACTCACACACACAGAGACAAGTGCACGCACCACACACACACACACACACACACACACACACACACACACAAACTCACACCCACGGTATTCGCGTCCTGGGCGATGGGTTTGGTGGAAGGGTGGTAGCGGGGTAGTAAACCTTAGTATCCCCCTACCCAGAGGGGGGTGCTCTCGCCGAGGGCTCCGCAATATACACCGAAGGGTTGTCTGACTCTCGAATGAAAGCGGATGCCACTTCCTTGACCACTCCAAAATAAATCCACACCATTAAGGATAACAACATGGTGGGGGTGACCGAGGGTAGGCGAGCGAGAAGCAGCGAGCTAGGGTAGCCGAGAGAGAGGTACTGACTGACTGACCGTCTGACTGACTCCTGAGAGAGGGAACGAGCCAGGCGGACAAAAGAAGAAAGAAAGAGGAAATATCAATCAAACGCTAGGTCCTCCCTCCAGTGGCTGTTAGGGGATGGGGTATAGCACTCCTTGACGAGTGTGTGTTTGTGTGTATGTGTGTGTGTGTGTGGAGACGGATAGAAAGGTTGTGTGTTGTCAACGCAAAAACACTCACTAGCAAATGAGAACGTGAGAAATCGTACCCTCTCACTTTCTCGTGTATGTAGTCACCGAAACCTACTCAATCTAATTCACAAATATCAATCAAAACTCGATTATGGTGTTTCATAAAGCATGATGTTTTAATGCAACATAGCAACGAGTGGGTTTGTTTATGTGTATGTTAAAATGCTGACACATGACAACCCGTGGTCGGTAGGGTATATATATATATCAATACGCGACCCTATCTCCCAAAATTACATATTGCATTTTTACGAATCAGGGGCCGTCGGTTTACTAGGAGAAATGGAAACTCCACCTATGTCTGCTTTCCTCCGAGGGGAAAAAAGACCTCGCACCTCCCCCACCAAGGTAGACGACTCGGTTGACACTACACCGGCGGTTAAACTCATCAGGAAAGGGTTGGTTTTCCACCAACAGTATGATGAAGCCACAATCGTTGACATAAGCAGTGGTGAAGAAGGGGAGGGGGGTACCAATAAGCTCCATACACCATTGAACAAAGCCGAGCGAAGAAGTAGCGAACCCGAACCGACGGATCGTATCCAGTATACATCGGAAGAGCATGGATGATCATGTATTGACGCAAAGACCTGACACTAAGTGGATGCCCATATTCGTCACTAATGTGGTATATTCTGTGTACCTGACTAATTATGTTCTGGGGAGATGGGGTTCCGGTGGTGGCACAATCCCACCCTGGATTCGGAAAAAAAGGTGTTTGTTGTTGACTAAATCCCGACACGAGGACTCACTGTGCGCGTTTCGTTGCTTAGCTACTCACCTACGGATGTGTAAACAACGGAAATTTAGGAAGAGAAAAACAACTGTCTCACCACAACCCATATGGAGCGGAGGCGAAAAAAACGCTCTCAAGCTGTTCCATGAATGGAGACGATCCACGAAAAATCATAAAACTAATAAGTGTAAAAAATCATTTTCAGGTTTAAAAGTTCCAGAAGACGTACCCGCATTTGAAAAGTTATTTAATGTGCGAGTGAACATTTTTGCCTTACAAGACATGGGGTATTCTTGTAGTCCCATATATCTGTCTCCCATTGGTACACCCTGTGCTGGGGATGTTGGGGATCTAAATATGAATTGTTACAAAGGTCACCTTTCTTACATCACAAACCTCAGTTCGTATGCGCGACGTTATAAGTGTAGACATTGCAACAGATGCTTCAAAAGACCGGGTCAGGTTCGACAACATGAAAAAACACAATGCTGTAACAGGACTAAGCTGATATTACCTGGTGGGTACATGAAAACTCAGCAATCGGTTTTTGAAGAGTTGCAAGATATGTGTGGTGTTAACATTCCCGATGAAAACAGGTGTTATGATTTCTTTGTGATGTTTGACATGGAGGCACTACTGACAGCTCCCAATGAAAAAGCTGAGGGAACAGGTAACACAAGATGGCTGCAAAAACATCATCCCATATCAGTCAGCGTCTGTAGTAACGTACCGGGGTACACAGAGCCTGAGTGTATGGTATGTCCGGATACTGGTGTATTGTTGAACAGTATGGTGACATACATGAGTCATATAGCGGATGAGGCTGGAAAACGAACAGAGCATAAACTCGGGGAAGCGCTCAGAGCACTTACACAACAAATAGAGTTTCTCACAACACTTCGCGAACGAAGTGAGACGTCCACGTCCCAGCAAGAGAGCAAACATGATTGTTCCTCCTCCCACGGGATGTGATGGTGATGATGATGATGATGATGATGATGATGATGATGAAGAAGAAGAACCCCCATCCAAAGCTATGTTAAACAGGCTTGCGAAACCAAACGTGTACCACACACTGTTGAAGAAAGTTATGGAAACCGATGCGATCATCCCTGTATACAACGAGTTGGATGATATAGATGATGCTGATGTGGAGACATTGGTAGAACGTGGAACGTGGAGAAAAATGGATGCCATCACATGCTATTCATCTAAAGAAACTACATCGCCTAAGGGATCACCCCCACCCCACACCTCCCGCCGTCGGGGATCAACAATATGTGTATCATTATCATCATCATCACCATCACCACCATCATCATCTTCATCATCACGACTATCATTATCACCATGATGGTGTTGTTGTTGTTGTAGTTTGTTGGATTCTTCATCTGGTGACATATACGAGTAAACACTATCACGTGTGTTTACAGTGCCTCTACTACCCGGATAAAGAAGAAGCAGTATGGTGAGGTTCTTCTTCACCTTGTTGGTGTTTCAACAGCAGTTCGTATTTCCTCTTTGGAACGAGCACCAGTTCTTGGGCTCGGATTGAGCTCGTGCACATGATTTCCTCTTATTTTATTGTGTTTGCGACTTCCTCACCCTCACTAGGGAGTTCTTCTTCTTCCTCTTCTTCAGCGCTTCCTACTTCTCCTTCTTCTTCGATGGGAGAGCGATTTCCTCTCCCAAACAAAGAAATGATGTGTGGTAACTCCTTTCTAATTCCCACCAATAATTTCCTAGTGTTTACTCTGCTCACCGACCTGTCTGCTATAAGCCGTAACTGTTTTTTCTTCTTCCGGAGTCTCGTTTTATAGTCCTCAGATAAAGGGATATTTCCTCGTAACATATTCAGACAAATCTCACACAAAGAATCCATTTGTTGAGTGGTCATAGTATCCAGTAATGCCTTCCGCTGTCTGTCAGATTGAGTGCGCGCAATGAGTCGCAGGAAAACATATGTTTCTTCGTGAAAGGGGAGGCGTATAGGGTGCTTACTACTCATTGTATTGTTGGTGTATACACGGTCACCAGTTCCCCAGGAAATATATTAGTTGTGAACTGATACTTCTTGCTTCCTTTGGGTGAGAGATCTATCAACAAATAACCGTATGGATTATGTTCCGTTGCTCTTTCATACGCGTCAAGAAAGAAGCCCACCTTCCTGGGAGGATCTGTCTACCAATGGTTGCCACCTGCGCGACGTGCCTCTTCGGTTCTTAAAAAGAACAATGAAATGTGAGTTCAGTGAAATAGTTCTGGCATACTTCCCGTAGCATGTTGATGGAAACAGGTTTTGGCTGATAACACAAACTGAAATGGTTAAGTGGTGACTCATTGTTGTGAATAGTTTACACATGCTCGGACTGCGACAGACTTCCTCAATAAGGTCATCTACGACCAACAACTTGTGTTCACGTTCTTTGTTGCTCCATTCTATTATATCCTCTTCTTTTGGCAAACCCTTATGAAATTCAACCTTCACTCCCTCGACCCCATTAGTCGATGATTCGATGGTGTCATACAACCGCTGCCACATAGAGTAACAGTACATTATCTTCGTCAACCTTGTGTCAAACATAGCGTGTGCGTGATCTATAAGTCTCTTCGTGAACGAACTTTTGCCAGACTGAGTTGCCCCGCTTATGAAGATTGTGGATGGTGTTGGAAAGGGGAGCATAGCGTGGTTAACACTTTCCATGTTGTTGTTCGTATAGTGATTAGACTCTTGTGTATACATTGCAGAAGAAGAAACCGCTTATCCTCACATTCGACGATAGTGAAGTGGTGTTTGCTGCGAACTGACACAAAACGGGTACCTCCTTGCTATATATTCATAAACATAACGATCGTTTCCAGTATAGTTGTTGCGAGAAAATTGTTCAAGCATTATCTCTCTCAAACACCACCCTCTCAACCGGAACAAGAGATAATACACAACGTATTGTCCACAGGTTTTCCCCGCGAGACTCTGCACTCTGATGCGACTCCAAACAAGCGCTCTTCTGCTGATATGACGACGATGATGACGTTGGTTATTGTTATTTATATCTTCCCCAAAGTCTTGGACCTCTTTAAGTCTGCGGACTATTCCTCGATCGAACCCAAGACTATCAAAAATTGCAATACTGTTCTCGTTCACGTAAACAGCAAACCAGTGTTGACCATCTTCATGAGCTCTCTCTGTATTAACTATAATAGCAGATGGATAATCCTCCCTCCTTGTCATACGCTGCGCTAGGTCTTTTGTTAAATGATTCAGAGCGAACACACCCAAAACGTGGTGTCTAAGTATGGGGTCGCACTGTATGATACATTCCAGTTGGTGAGTGTTCATAACTTCATTCACTACAGCACTCCTTCTCTTATAGGACAACGTTCCTGCTTTTCTCTATTTGAAAAATGTCGTCGAATTCTCCATAAACCACACACGATACTGTCTCGGGAAGCGGTGTTGCAAACTGCGCTTCAAGTCTAAGAGTTCCTTGTTTTTGAAGGCGTAGATATGTTCCATCATTGTTCTGACCGAACACCGGATCCAATGAAAAGACGTACAATCCATACCCACCATGGAACTCATCCCGAGAAATGTCCACCCGATTAACACTTTCTCCATCTCCCATCATCCAACATGCATTAGAGCGGAATAGATTGACGTAGGCTGGGATGTAGCTTCGACCTGTTGCCGCTCCAAAGCGCAGTTTCATGGGACCTGACTCACCAACGATGGTGCCGTCGCAGAACAACACTATCTGTGATAAGTCCCAGTTGGCAAAGTTATAAGGATTCTTCTGGTAGTTACCAATCCCCGTGGCCTTGGAGGAGACAAACCCCGCTACAATCTTGTTTGGACGAATGCCTTGGAATATGTTATCCCACGCGAAGCTGGTTCGACCCTTGACAATAGAACACATCTTAACTTCCGTTCTTCGATAGGGATATTTTGCCGGTGTCTTAGATAGCGCTTCATTGTGTCCCCATATGACCCCTGGATTCACACACACTTTCAAAACCTTCAGAATGATGTCATCGATTTGAGCAGCATACGCAGTATCCGTTTTGGTTGACATGAGCAAGAATTGGGGAGTGGATCTGTACAATTCACTTGCACGTCGACTTGGTTCAGTATGTAGCGTTTCATCTGAAAGAGGTCATGCATCAAGGGGGACTCCAGGTCGAACGTTTTACTCTGGGAAGTGAGTTGATACCTGTTGAACATGCCCACATTATTCCCATTTGGGTTAGTTTCATCTAACTCTCCTGCAGTGTCCTTTGAAAAAAGTTGCGCCCCCATCTTTGTTGTGCTGTTGTTATAATTGGTGTTCAAAAGCATTTGAATGATGGCTTTGTAAGGATAGTGATTGGTTGTTGAGTTAATCAACCAACCTTGCAACCATACGTCTACTTGTCCGAAAAAGGAATGCAAGAAGAGATTTATTGGACCGCATTCTTCGTCGGGAACCAGTTCTGAATTGTCCGACCGTGTTATCTTACATTTGACATACAGGGAGGACCTTCTGAGGTCGATGTATTCCAACCCGTTTTGCCCACTAATGTGAAATTCGATGGTGTGGATGCAGACAGAGGTGATACTGGGCGACAATCTTGTAGATAGACCCTTTCAACAGCTGTTTGTGTTGGTGGTAGGTCGAATAAGGATAATTGGAAGGTTGCGTTTCGGTGAATAACTTTGGATCGTTTGTTAGCGCCGTCATATCCGATGACTTGTTATGTCGTCTCTAGGGTTTGTTGTTTGTTTGGATTGTCTTTTTTGAGTTGAGAGGAATGGTTTCAGTTAATTACCAAAGATGTCTACAATGGTTCTCTTTCTTCCGAATCCACGTTTCAGCTTCTTCTTCTTCTTCCCACTTGTGTTCCTACTCTTCTTCTTCTTGTTTATCACTGTGGTTGTTCGCTTTGTGAGGTGGTTTGTCCTCCTTCTTCTACTTCTCCCTTTCCCAGAGAGCGTGCGTCTTGCACTACTGCCTACGCGGCGTTGTCCGCGTTTTTTATTGATAAAGCCGATTGCGTTTGTAGAGACTGAGTCGGGGTGTCGTCTGATCTCTGCCTTTGCTTGATCTACGACCTGCTCACTTGGGGTTACTATTCTCATGTCCTTTTGTGGAATGACCTCCTTGTCAGTGACGATTGTTGTTGACTTTGTAGTAGAAAAGGTAAGTGGAGGGGGTAATAAATCTTGTGATGCTGGGCTTCGTTCCAATGTGATCATACTAGAAGCAGGTTTGAACCTGATAATGTTGAGGGTGTGGTCTGTTGTGGTATTGCTCCTCTTCCTTCCCTCAGCAACATCATCATAGTATTTACGCCACCTAGATATGTTTGGAATGTATAGACCATCATCGGTTTCATCTTTTCCTCGGTATTCCATTAAACTATCCGTCATGACTCCTCTCTTCGTTTTAGTTGAAGGGAATGTCTAAACCAAAAAAAAGGGTATCGTCTCAAATGAAGTGTCAATAATGACACATCTGTTAAGAATGTGGCTGGAGTGTCGCTTACATCTGTTATGTATATGTCAATCTGTTGAATAGTGTCACTGACGAGTCGAATGCTAATATCATATGGATCGTCTATTTTTATATTCCACGACTGTGTGGTTGTGGAATATGTTGTTGATTTTACCTGTCGTAGAAGTGGACGCCGTTCACCATCCACAATGATTGGTTCGCATATGGAACAATAGGTGTAGAGCATGTCATCTGTTACCTTGGTCTTCCTCCTTCCTTTTGCGCGTTTAGCATAAAATTCCCTCAAAGCAACACTCCAATGACCGTCCAACCGTAGAGGTTGCTGAAGATATAGGGAAAACTTGTGTGGTTGGTTGTCTGGGAAGTATAAAGCACTGTTGTTGTTGTGGGCGACTATCCATTCGTCCTTCATTCTGATATGTTATCCTTTCTTTGTGACTCACTTCTTCGTGCTGGAGTTGTGTTGGTTTTTCTTTGTTTTGTGTTGTTGGTTCAGGTTTATGTGATCTCTTTCGCGTCAACCCACGAATTGAATTTCGTTGGGAAACCCGCCCATTTAATAAGCGCTTGCTTGATGCCTTTCTTGTTACCTCCCCCTTCACTGTTCTGTATTTTAGAATACTCTCTATACGCCAAAGTGTGTCCTTTGGGTTTTTTTGAAATTTGCTCAATTCAGATTGATAAAATGAACCTTGGATTGGGTCTGACTGCAGATCTTCAACACTGTATATAGGAATACCATCTCGTCTCTGTCGACTCGCAACTTTGAAGACCTCTTGAGTCCATTTCTCTTGGTACTCTTTTTCAAAGGCTCTCTTGCTCATGGATAGTCGCACTAGATCTCCAATCTTAAACGCGTATCTCTCAACGTGGGGGGGGGGGTTACCTCTCTCCTCACGTGGGACGGTGTTTTAATCATTGATTTTTTACTGTCGTACATATCCAACCATATGCGAGCTCCGTTCGTGTGATTAACATCGGCTGGAGTTCTCCCGTTGGGAAGTGATCTGTGTGGACGGTGGTTATAGTTGTAAACAATGTCCTGAATAATGTTCGTGTATGTATACGTCCTCTTGTACGTGGAATATCTGTATAGCATAGTTTTCAATGTTCTAATAAAATGTTCGGCATAGTTGGCTTTAATATCATCATTTTGTGTAACAAAGTGATTAACATGAAACTGACTGTAAACTTTTTTCACAGCATTATTTCGGAACTCCATGGCTTTATCCGTCCTGAGCGTGAATGGCACCCTCACCCCCATATTTGTGACTAAGGTTTTCATGGCTGGGGCTTTCTTTTCCGATGATTTGTTTTTTATTGGTTTGATCCATACAAATCTGGAAAAACAGTCAATGATAATAAGCAGGTATTTTACACCCTCGTTGCTATGTGCTATGTTTGACACATCGCATAAGTCAGCGTCTGCTTGTACCCTGATTCCGCTGACTATAACTCTATTTCTCTTGAATCTTCTACGTGGAGCTTTGTGGAGGGTATACGCGTCTTGCTTGTTAAGCCACTTCCTCACACGCTGTGACTTAATGTGTGGGTCCTTTCTTTTCAAAGTCTGTTCAAACTTTGGATATCCTCCAAAGGAACCTGGTTCCTTGGGGTCATAATACCTACGAGCTAATATCTGCTGAGCCATACACCTTCTCCTCCACCGCCGCGGATGGTGTGTTCCTCCTTTTCACCCTCAACACGCAATGATAAAGCTCTTCTTGCCAATGATCTGTTTTAAAAACCGTATCGCGATAGTCCCTGCATTCATATTTTAAATAATACAGCGGTGATATGGCGCGCAGACTAGGAATGATACTTATGTAGTCTCTCCACTTGGTCATAACGGATTCTTCGTCTATAGAGACTAGTGCTTGCCCAACTGATTCACGTGACGTTGATTTCAAGTCTTGGAAAATGGTGTGGGCATAGGTCAACGTCAATAGATGATGTAGTATTCGCGAAATAAGAACGGATGTGGTATAACTTTGCGTAGAACGTGGGAGGTGATTGAAGTTTGTTTAATGCGGTGTTGGTGATGTTATTATAATTCTATTTCATCCCCGTGTTATATCGTTGTCTGTGTGTGGTGATATACACACCACACTCCACAAATATTCAAACCTTTGTTGTAACCTCCCCAAATGTGTTAGTGACTCGTGGCTGTGATTGAGAAACCCCATCTGGATAATAGGCGTGAATAATTGCACAACAGCTATACAATATTTGCAAGCATGTCCCCCTGGGGAATAATGGGTGCCAATAGCACTGAAAACACCCCAATGTGTTAGTGACTCGTGGTTGGGGTGATTACGAAAGCGATTTCAAAAACCTACAGTGATTAATGACGTTCCCAAGGTGATATATATGTATACAAATATTGTATAGTTGTTGTGCAATTATTTCGCGTGATTTGTCTCGACTTGTCGGGGGTAGTAAATCCTATGTTAATCTCCATTGGAAAATGTCCGGCAAAAGGCCTGCATACCACTACTTAGCATCTTTCACAAATCGCTTTTCTAATGAACCTGGTCATAATTAAAATGGAATCGACAAAATCCATTCCACGTTAAGAACCCTCTGCTATCGACAGACTCGATTGTACAATTTGGGCACTATCATGTATTCTACCATGGCTACGTCAAATGCTCGAATTGGATTGGTCAAGCCATAAAATCAGACGGTATCAATTTGGATTGAAAATGCGTCTGATTTCACGGCGCTTCACTGCGCACGTATACAACACTGCCGCACTACTTCAGCTTGGCCATCAACACGACTAATATCAACACAACAGACGTGATGGAAATGCTGATGAAACATTTATTAAAACTCGAAAAATACAATTATACGATTTCTCCTCCAAAATTATTAGGGGACCTCACTACCTTCTATTATAAAAATATTCAAAAACAATTACAATACACAGCCCCAAACATAAACAAACAATATCTAACATATAAATCAGAAAACCTTGTAAAAATACATCCCTATCTATCCCGTTCCCGTTCCCGTTCGTAAACATTTTCGTACCAGGTAAATGGTATATTTGTTTCCGTTTAGAATGGTAAATTCGCAAGATAACGGTCAGGCGAAACACAAAATTCGCCACTCATACTCCATCATGTCCCGTTGCATCTTTCAAAATGTCAAAAACTGAACCATGTAAATTCAGTTCTCTGCCACCTTCCCCCGAAGGCTGTCACTGCAGCTATGTTCGTACACTTTGAAAAGCTTGGCCACAATCCAGTCCCGAATAATGAGAATGATGTTCCAAGGAATCCCAAGTTAGTCGCATCTACACAAAGCTGCACTGTCACTCTTCCTCGCATGCCGGGGTGGAGGCACGTACGTGAAATCATGATCGACAACCGTCGGTCATAAAAATCAACAGTCTTGATGAGTTGCAGGTTATTGGTCGA